AAAAAAAAAAAAAAAAAAAGTCACCCCTACCCCTACCTCTTGCCCAGGACATGGAAACTGAGTGACATGCCCAGAGATACGCACAGAGAGGTGGCTGATGTTCACCAGAATGCTAGCTGTAGTCATAGCTGGCTGGTAGGATTTTTGCTAACTGATTTTTTAACTTTGTGCTGTTTTGTACTGCTGGATTTACTGTTATTTTTCATAGCGTCTACCTACCACCTACTCAAGAAAAATCAAAGAATAAAGAATCCTTACACAGTTTAACTTACTGCAAGATGCAATATTACGTGTGTAATGTAAAAATTCTCCCTAGATGTATCCCCAACCACTCCCAATTCCTAAGCTCACTCCAATGTCCCTGAGCAGTAATTCCTAAGTTTATGCCTTGAAAACGAACACATCTGCGCCTACCTGTAAGATGCCGATAACTGCTCTGAAATAGCCCACGTGAAAGCATGGCAACTCCAAGTCAATGTAGCCGTAGTGGCCCAGACAGTCAGCCAAGTTTTTCCCACAGGTTTCGCAAGGACGGTCCTTCTCACTTGTACCCTTTGGATAAAAGCACACCCAATTATTAATGGAGACCACTGGACGGGAAAGTGGGACCGGGTGACTCTGAGTCAGAATCACCTGAGAAGGTGCAGAGTATTCACATCCCATTGACCAAAGGCTGGAGTCCCTGAGATGGTGCAGGAGGCATAAGGGAGATGGAAAGAAGCTCTTGCTTTTTCCAACCTGGTAAGTCATCAGTTTCATCAGCATGTCAAGACACATGAGCTGGGAGGGGGTGGGGACTTACCATCCTATGGTCAAGCACACCATACAGCAAGGGAGCATGGTTGTTGTCCTGGCTGTACAGGTTCTTACTCACAACCTGGATGTGGGCCTGCTGGCGCATCTCCTCAGGGGACTTCATTCCAAAACAGATGTGGCTTCTGGAATAAAAAGAAACAGGAGCTGGGGCGCCTGGCTGGCTCCATCAGTAGAGCATATGACTCTTGATTTCGGGGTTGTGAGTTCAAACCCCACGTTGGGCATAGAGCTTGCTTAATTAAAAATAACAACAACAACAAAAGGGAACAATTATGTCAAAACCACTTACCAAAAATGGTGATTGCAGTGACCCATCATAACCAACCTTACTCTTCCAACTGTTTACAGGCTCTGCTCCATTATTAAATATATTCAAGTCTCTCCCATTTTTCCTTGGTAAACACCCCTTCATCCCCCTGAAATCATTTCCATTCTTACTATCAAATGAATGGTGTTCACCAAGGTCACCGAGCCCACCTGCTTGCTAAATCCTGGTAAGAATGTGCTCATCTTACCGCTCTGCAGTGCTGGATGTTAACTCCGCCTTCCCCCTTATCCTGAAATATTTTCCTCTTACAGCCTTGGGGACACCACATACTCTCTGTGTGTCCCCGTGCCATCTGTTCCTTCTTTTGTGGTTGCTTCTTCTACTCCATCCCTTAAATATTCTGATCTCTCCTCATGCAGGGATGCGACCCTCAACCCCTTCTTTTCATTCTAGGCATCCCTCCTGAGTGATTGTCACTCAGGTATATGTTAACGTCCATGTAATCCCCATCTTTAGACCAGCTACTGCTACTCCGCGGGAGGCCGTCTAGACACCTGTTCTGCGCAACTGCACAGGAACCTCAAACTGGACACATCTAAAACAGAACCCGACACTTTCATCCCCAAATCTGCTCCTTCAATCATCTGACCAGCAAATTGGGGACTTACTGTGTGCCAGGCACCATCTTGAGGAGCTGCGGATACAGATTAGATGAGACAGACAAGGTCCCTGCCAACATGGAGCTCACAGTTCAGGGTGGGCAAGACAGACAGTAAGCAAATACATACACAAAAGTGAACAGATACAGAGAATGAAAATGAGATGAAGTGGTAGAGAGTCTGAGGAAACTACGTTGTGGGGTCAGAAAGCCCCTGTGTAAAACTGACACTGAAACTGAATTCTGAGTAAGAGGGAGCCAGCTTTAAGACGGGATGGAGATGCGGCATTTAAAATAGAGAATCATTAGGGCAAGGGTCCCAGAGCCAGCACAAGCTTGGCATTCAAGAACCAAACCAACCAAGTCAGTATAATAGAGTGCAGAAAGCTAATGGTACAAGATGAAGCCAGTGCGGTATGGGGTCAGGTCATGCTGGGCTTGGGAACATTGGTATAGAATTTACATGTTAGTGCAATAAAAAGCGGCTGGAAGGTTTTAAACTGAAGAGTCAGAAATCTAATTTGCATCTTAACAGGCTCTCTTGGGCTGCTTTGTGAGAACAGATTACATCTGAATATGGGTGGGGTTTGGGGTGGGCAGGAGGGGCCGGGGTGAATATGGAGAGATCACCTGCAAGGATTCCTCCAAGTAAGACACTTGTTCCCCATGAATGGCAACCATCCAAACAACTGCCCAAGCAAGAAATTCTGTGTCAATCTCATTTCTCCCTTCTCTCGTTCCTACTACTCCTGTCAATTTTACACCCTAAACCCCTCTGAAATCCATCTCTCCAATGACACTACCAAAGGACATCATCATCCCCTGCCTGGACCCCTGCAGTGGCATCCAAGGACTCCCTCTTATTCTGTCCCCCAAGAATCAAGAGACCTTCCAGAAAAGGAGAACTCTTTTATCAAGACACTCCCCTGCTTAAAACGCTTCAGAGGTTCCTTGGCACAGAGGTACCAAGATAATTCTGGAACACAGCTTCAGATCTCCTGCTTTCTTCTCATCACCCCTTTCTCCCTCCAGTATGCTCCTTAAAGGCTGTCTGGTCTGCATTCTTCTGCTCGAATCTCTTTCTCATTAGGTGTTCTGAGAATAACTATACCTACACTTGTCCTTGCACTAGTCAACACTGACTTGTCTATCTTCTCCAACTAGAAGAGGCAGTAAGGTCTTATTCGTGTCCTAGCCCTAAGGCTTATGCCTGGGCCTAGCACACAACACCTTCCTCAGTTAAGCGTCTGTTAAAAGAATGATTGGTTCATTTTTCCCGTGTAAGCTCTAAGGGGAGGCCACGGCCTGATAAATAAGCTCTGAAGGAGAAGGTCCAGAAGAGCAGCCTCATTTCTGAGACTGCTACACATCGCCCAGTGATATAGCTTTCTAACTGGAAACTCTATCCTTTCAGTCAGCAAACACTGCCTCCGTGTTACATGCTCTGCAGCAAAACCAGAATTAGACACATTCCCCGCCCCAGATTGCTCCCCACGCTGCAGTGGCAAAAAAGATTGGCCGGAAGAGGCCATCGTATGACCTCGGGAGGATTCGTGCGTAGGTCCACGGTGCGCGCATTGCCACGGCTCACGTCACATCCCAAGGCCAGGGACCACCCCCGGCCTGCAGTCCCCCAGGTGCTGGACTGCCCTCTGCCTGACCAATTTTCTTTGACCTACTCTGATACTTCTGATCTTTGCCCACACCTTCCGCTGACTCCTGGCCCTCCCCTTCCAATGGACTCTTCGAGACCCGGGACCCCTGACGCCGCACCCCCTGCCCTTCATTTCTCCACCCTTTGGCCATTCTTGCTCCTCCTTACATTTTCTTGGCGACATCCGTCTCTCGGAACTGTTCCTTCACCATGGTGACGGCTGCCGGGGTACCCTCCTCGATACTCCGGGAGCTAGACTAGAGAAACCTAGCTCGCCGTACTCCCCGAGGGGGCTTCTCGCCTCGTTGCTAACACCTCGGCGGCATCCTGTCGGCCACCGTAGAGCGCCCCACGTGGTCGCTTCCTCTTCCGCTACTCGCCGGCGCGTCTGTCAGTCAAGAGAGGGCTTCGGACAGGGCGCTTTCTGCCTTCTCCCTACACTGCCATCTTGCGGCACCTCTTTGAAACTGCACCGGGGCCTGTTCTGTAATTTCAAAAGCCCGGTAGCGGTTCGTTTCTCCAGGTCATGTGACCCCTGCGGAGTGATTGCGATGCCTTGCCTCAGAACGTTTAGGCAATCAGAGGGACAAAAACTGCGTAAAATGGAAAATTGTCATTATCAACATCAATACCATCTTAATTAAGACCCTCTGATTTTTTTAAGTAAAGGGGAAGACTAAAATGAACCTGCTCAGGGAACAGAGGTACAAACTGGAAGACCGCCAAAGGAAATAAAGAGGTCAGAAACACGGCCATGCATGCAGTTTACAAAGTTACTTTAAAAAAGAAATGGGGGCGCCTGGGTGGCTCAGTTGGTTAAGCGACTGCCTTCGGCTCAGGTCATGATCCTGGAGTCCCAGGATCGAGTCCCGCAAAGGGCTCCCTGCTCAGCAGGGGATCTGCTTCTCCCTCTGACCCTCCTCCCTCTCATGCTCTCTCTCTCTCTCAATAAATAAGCAAAAATCTTAAAAAAAAAAAATGAAAAATGAATTAAACTTATATTATTGATAACAAAAACAGAAGCTATAAATCTGCGAAAAGTCAGTCATGGTGAGCAAGGGAAACAAGATGAGGGGAGAATAAGAATTGAAGATCATTAATGTATTGAGGAAATAAACTGCTTGCCCACAGTCTGTGACAACCTGTGGGAGGTGATCCTAGCGTGACATCTCAGCACATGATACTACCAAGGAAACCACACTACTGTAGGATCTAGTGCTACAGAGCCTGAAACTTTTTTACTATTTGTGAGACACTCTAGACAACCAAATCAAATGGTTCAACTCCTTTGAGTTTTAAGAAGGGATGCTGTTCAAACTCCATGCATCGTCATTAGCAAAACACAAATGTAACAGACAAAAAGCAAAGCAAATCAGACTTTACTTATTTCAGCAGTTAATCACTTAAAATCCCTTTGGAATAATGTAGACAATACTATGCTAACACGATTCGACGAGTGGCTTTTATCATATAGAGGTTAGAAGCAAGGTTCTGGAACCACAGTGCCTCTCTGGGTACCACCACCTAAAGTTGTGTGACCTTGAGAATGTTATTTAGCCTCATTGTGTCTTAGTTTACCCATCTTGTAAAGGGGGTAAGTAATCAGTACCTTACTTCTTAGAGTTAGTGGGGAGGTCAAATGGCAAAATGAGTGTGAAAGTAATTAGAATGAACAGGCACATAGCAGTCACTCAATGAATATTAAGTATTGTTACTCTGAAAAATGTAGAAAAGCTATCCTCAAAACCTGCACCTTTGTCTCCTTTGCCACACTGACCTTTAGAGGTCCTAATGTCTCTTTTTGAACATGCACGTATGTTCTTTATTTTTGCATGACCCCGTCACTTTATTATTTTATTTATTTTTAAAGATTTTATTTATTTATTTGACAGAGA